TTTTTTTTTTTTTTTTTTTTTTTTTTTTTTTTTTTTTTTTTTTTTTTTTTTTTTACGATTTGCTTCTTATTTCAAAGAAAAAGTGGATAACTGAGGCAAACCGATCAGTAAAGGATTTTATCGATCGTAACGCGTAGATGAGCTTCCGTTATTGTTCGCATTACCGAGAAATCAGTGTCGCTTATCTCGGGACGCGCAAGTTGTTCTTTGGCAATGAAAACGCATGTACGTGGGCAAATGTAATATGTTGTTTTATTGAGTGGCCGGAAGTTCGTGAATGTCGAGATGAGCGTTTGGTACAAACCGCGTGTTTAGTGCCGCGGGAGGTCATTACTATATCGTATAAATATAAAGATCCGATGATGCATTAGAATGACGAAATTTACGCTCGTGGTGTTTTTACTTGGCTTACTGTCGGATGATGTTTTGGATACATTTTTTTATTTTTGTATGTATGTACGGTATTTTCGAAAAGTAATCGAATCGATAACGTGGCTAAAGTCACCGATGAATGTAGCGTGTGAATTTCATTTTTAGGCGCTTACACTTGTTTGCGGGAGAGCAAAAAGTGCAAGCACTTTGAAATAAGGTGAAAAAAATTGTTAATGTTATTAATGTGTATTAGTTGTATTTTTTAGTCTCGTACCCACTAAAAATTCTTCACTGTAGCCAAAAATTAAGATCTTAATCATGAAAACGGACGGTGCATTTTTATTTCTCATTTAAATAGTATGGAATTTTTTAAGATTTTCAGAAATAGTTTTTTTAATGGTTCTAATAAATGTTTAATCCGCTTGATATAAAATTGCATTGAATAAAGTTATAACAATCCACTCATTTTGTTGGATGAAAAAAAATTTTAAGTGCTGAAAAATTTTTTCAAAAAGTATAAAAAGCTGTACACAGTAAAAAATTTTGTAGAAAAATTACTACGCTACGCATTGGAAAAAATCCGACCAATGCTATACGTAGTATATTAACTATGAAAATAGCTACAATACTTTTACAATAGAAAAATTACTACGCGAATAGTAATAATTAAGAAGAAAACTTGTCTATAGTATATTTACGACAGCATTAGAGAAAACATACTATCAGTTTTGTAACTTTCCAGCCAGGTGGCGTACATGTTCATTTTTTCAGTGAATACACTACGTTCGTAGTAAAAACTACGAACACACTAGGAATGGTTGAAATAAGTTACATTTTTAGTGCTATAGTAATTTAAACAGGGGGCTCATTTAAAAATGAAATAATGTCTTTTACAACGTATAAACTTTTATTTAGTGCTGAAAATACTTGCACAGTGTTTATATTAATTTTTTATTTTATAATTCAATCTTTGGCCATGCTGACGACGAGGTTATGTGGAACAGAATTATGCATATGGTGCACTAGTAATAACATTGCAATCTTACTGTATTTATTTGCTGCATGAAACTATAACTTAATTAAACATTAGGAACGACAATTTAGTTGACCAATTTGGAACTGACACGAAAACCAGAGCTTCAACACACAAACAGCACTACGACATTTTTTCGATTATTCCAGCGCCTGCAGATTATGCAAAAATGAAATTTCAATAGAAATCAACGAATTTCACTTTACTACGCTGATAGTGTTTTTACAATTCTACAAGTAATATATAACTACAAAATAGTATTTTACCCAATGCAATAGTTGTGTATTATACTACACGGCGTCGTAAAATAACTACGCTACGCATTGGTCGGATTTTTTCCAACTCTAGACGTAGCAAAATTACTACCATCGTAGTGAACTTACTTAAAAATTAGCATTAATACTAGCCGCTTGTAAATTTACTTCGTCAGACGAGGTACAGTTACTATAGAAGAGTGGTAATTTTACTAAAAAATTTTTTACTGTGATGATAAAAAAAAAAAAAAAAAAAAAAAAAAATAGACCGACGTCGTCTGCTTTCTACCGGTGTGATTGCGGAACACATCACCAGAGGGGTTCGGAATACATCACCGAGTTCGATCGAGTCCTTAGATATTGCGATCGAGTACGAGTTTTGACTGTCACATTTCCTTAGATGTTACGAAAACGTGATGACAATGTTACATCCCTCCCCCCGTAATTAAAGTGACAGTCAAAACTCGAACTCGATCGTGATATCGAAGAACTCGATTGGACCAATGACGGCACTCGCGTGACTCCAAAAACCTCTCTTGGTCCCATATCAAGGCAAAGAAAGCTTTTACATTACGGAAGCCTGTATGGCTCATGCTCTCTTGCGTTACGCTGATTAAGTGCCAGGTGCACAACACGCGCTATTCACGGACGGGTGCAGAATTTTTGTCTCCAAGCATTACATCTACGATCTACGTGTAAGTTCGCGTGCGAACACGTGTTATGTTATCTTTGACGCGAGTGACACGACCGAGGCTACTGCCGTGCAAGCAAATTTTCTTCTCATTTTAATATTGAATCAGCTGCACGGCCCAGAGTGAGGAAAAAAGTAAAAGGCTATAGAGAAAAATTTCGCCTGCATGCAGTGCACATACACACTGTACTTGGAAAATCTAACCTAGAAAAAAAATAGAAGGACGAGGAAGTTGCAATGAGTTTTCCTTACGTAACTCGTGCCGTCGTCGTCGTCGTTAACGACAATATTTCATTATTAAAAATATTTACCGTGTTGCCTGGATGTTATAATTTTTAGATCCGAGTCCAGTGGGAGTGTCAGTTTTACTCTTCTCGTAGTAGCAGTAGCTTACAGCAGCCATGCCGTCCGATGCTAAGAAGAAGCAGCAGCAGAAGAAGAAGGAGGCAGCTAAGGCTCGACAAGGGGGCAAGAAGCCCGCACAGGCTGCTGGACAGCGCAATGACGAGGGCAAGGACGACAGCCCAGCCAGCCAGACCGATGGCACCAGCCAGCAGAATGGCACCAACGGCACTTTATCGCTCAGTGCCGAGGGTAACTAATTCTCCTTTTCAGTTTATCTATTATTTGGCTTTTTCATTTTCCTGAATCACTTATCGCGGTTTCAATTTATTTCATTGAAACTCCAGGATATTTTTAGATTGAGTCCTCCTTTTGTAGAGCAAGTTTTGCTTGCCGATGTATATAGATATCTACAAGTTTGATTTCATTAGCATCAAAAAGTTATTATTCTGATCAAATTTTTGTTAACCATCATTTATTATTTCCCTAAACGATATTTTTAACTTGATGCACAGGTGGTAATAGTAAGTCGTATTACACTTTCTGTATGATTAGTTCAGCTTTCATTAGAGTTTTCCAAAGCAGCCGAAAGAAATAAAAACTTTCCACAGAGGCATTATGCGCCAAGCTGGAGGCGGACGCAAGGCTAAACGCGGAAGCACGCGCCTGCACTGGTTCTCTGGCCTCTCACCCACGCAGCCGAGACATTAAGATTTCGAATTTTTCGGTTACTTTCCACGGCTGTGAACTGATGCAGGACACGATGCTCGAACTTAATTGTGGTCGGCGTTACGGTCTGCTGGGCTCCAATGGTTCCGGCAAATCGACACTGCTATCTGTCCTCGGCAACCGCGAGGTACCTATTCCCGATTCCATGGACATCTTCCATCTAACGAGGGAGATGCCAGCTAGCAACAAAACTGCCCTAAAGTGCGTCATGGAAGTCGACGAGGAACGAATTAGGCTTGAGAAACTTGCCGAGGAGCTCATCGAGTGTCCCGAGGAAGATGCTCAAGTAAATTTTTTATCCTTGTTACTCCTGTTAACTTGTTTATCAGTCAGTCTATTTTTTTTTTTTTTTTTTTTTTCTTCATTTTTAACTCTGCGAGAAAACTGGAGTAAATACCGATTAAAAAGTAATTTTCATATTATTTACGTTTTTAGGAGCAATTGATGGACATCTACGAAAGGTTAGATGATATGGCTGCCGATACTGCTGAAGCGCGGGCCGCTCATATTTTACACGGTCTGGGTTTTACTGCCAAAATGCAACAAACCCCAACAAAAGACTTTTCTGGAGGCTGGAGAATGCGTATTGCACTTGCTAGGTAAGTTGCTTATTTACCTATAATCCTTAAAATAAAAATATATAAGCTAAAGACATTGCCTTTTATTCAATTTTTAGAGCACTGTATGTCAAACCACACTTACTTTTGCTCGATGAACCTACTAATCATCTGGATCTGGATGCCTGTGTATGGTTGGAAGAAGAATTGAAAACTTACAAAAGAATATTAGTCATAATATCTCATTCACAAGATTTCTTAAATGGAATTTGCACAAATATCATTCATCTCAATAAGAAACAATTAAAGTATTACACTGGAAATTACGAAGCTTTCGTCAAAACGAGGTAATCGTCGCAAAATATTTGTATTAAGTGTAATATTTGTTTCATAAAATTGTTTATAGAAAACTTTATATTGATGAATATTTTTTTTCTAGAATGGAACTGTTGGAAAATCAAGCAAAACAGTACAATTGGGAACAAGATCAAATCGCCCACATGAAAAACTACATTGCTCGATTTGGTCACGGTTCTGCGAAATTAGCGCGTCAAGCACAGTCCAAAGAAAAAACTTTAGCAAAAATGGTAGCTCAAGGACTTACCGAGAAAGTATCGAACGACAAGGTTCTCAACTTTTATTTCCCAGCGTGCGGAACAATTCCGCCTCCCGTCATTATGGTACAGAACGTTAGTTTTCGATATACCGACGGTGCACCCTGGATTTACAAAAATTTGGAATTCGGTATTGATTTAGATACAAGGCTGGCACTTGTAGGACCTAATGGAGCTGGCAAGAGTACGCTTTTGAAACTTTTGTATGGAGATGTAAGAGCTTACTTTGAGGACATTTTTGAAAAATTATAAATAATAATGAACAAACTGGATATACGAAGATTTTTAATTTTTATGATAGTTGGTACCGTCAAGTGGCATGATAAGGAAAAACAGTCATCTCAGAATTGGAAGGTATCACCAGCATTTGCACGAATTATTGGATTTGGATATGTCACCATTGGACTACATGATGAAAACATTTCCCGAGGTCAAGGAACGAGAAGAAATGCGCAAAATTATTGGTCGGTACGGATTAACAGGCAGGCAACAGGTATGCATAAATTGTTTTAATTGTTTATTTCTCAAGAATGTCAGTTGTTAACCTTTGATTCTTTTTAGGTTTGTCCTATTCGTCAATTGTCCGATGGACAAAGGTGTCGCGTAGTGTTTGCATGGCTTGCTTGGCAAGTTCCTCATTTACTACTACTTGACGAACCTACAAATAATTTGGACATAGAAACTATTGATGCTTTAGCAGATGCCATTAACGAGTTTGACGGTGGTATGGTCTTGGTTTCTCACGATTTCAGACTGATCAATCAGGTAGCTTAATTGTTTTCAAATGTCTTGAGAAAAAAAAATTAAAATGGTCTCATAAAAAAATCGTGATTTTCAGGTGGCCGAAGAAATTTGGGTTTGCGAGAATGGAACTGTTACTAAATGGCAAGGGAACATTCTTGACTATAAGGAACATCTCAAGACTAAAGTTTTGAAGGATAATCAAACGCGTCAGAAAGATTTTGCAAGTCGAGTTGGAAAATAGTTCAATTTATAACTTAAAAAAATTATGTGAAACGGTGTCTGAATTTTTCCACGTCTCCAAGAGATTATCTCGAGATTTTGAAAAACGTCAAATAATAAATTCTTATCAGATTTTCGCTGCTGTGTAGCGAAAAGCTTATTCCAACAATAGCTAATTTATTAAGATAATTAAATGATACGAGTGATCGTGATTGTTGACTGTTGGTAATTTTCACAGTTACTGTAGACGAGCAATGAAAACAATTCAGCTTGATGAAGTGAATGTGAAAATGATGATTTATTGCAATAATAAATAGTTAAATTTTTACTTTGAATTTTATATAATTAAATTTTGTCACGAAGTATATACAGTGCACTTTGTAAAAAAAAAATAAGTTGTGTCAAGTGTGTAAATCAACTATCATCAGAGTTCACAATTATTTTAATAGTGTGGAAAACAACTTCTAATAAATTTAATACACCAATCATGAATACAGACTGAATTTATTTGACTACTTAGAAACATGAGAATATTTATTGTTAGAAATTATATACTGACAAAAAATCTTGTCTAATAGCAGTTTTAATAGCAATTATAAAGGACGGTTTTTCTTCAAAATGTTTATTAATGTCGCTACTTAATAGAATCAAAGTTTTATTTATTCCAGAGTAAAAATGATATTAATGCATAACTTTTAAAAGGTCACTTGTTTTTATATTTCGATATTTCAAAATATCGCGAGCGTATATTTCAAAGCAATAGCATTTGAAATCTATTATTTTCGTAAGTGGAGAATATGAGTGATCCCAGTTGGTGAGGAAAAAATTCTATAGCTCAGCCGCTTAAACTTATAGAATAACAAAATTCCCAATCAACTCTTCGACATTTTTAAATAAATTGTCTTGTCCCGTGTTGTCGATTGTCGTCGGCTCAGCCGTCACACCTGCCGTCAGTGTCAGCTGTCACTGCTGTCAGCAGTCAGTTTTGCAGAAAAACTCATGAACAGCCACATCCACGTGGTACTTGCACACGTAGATGTGTGGATGTATACATATGCGTAAAAATGTAATTTAATCAAGTACTTATACATTTATTAATTCATATGATTCATAAGTATCGTCGTCGACGTCCGTCTTCGCTTCGCTCTCTCGATACACCTACTTATATATACTTATGGATGCATGTATGAAGTGCAGTGCAGATTTGCAGAAGCACACATCAGCAGCAGCAAGCAAAACAAGCCATAGTGTGATGTTTAGTACCTACTCCCTCTTAAGTATATTGAGTATTATTATTATAAGTATACACGATACTTTTATCTCTTATCTCTTTCGTTTCGCGGGCATTTATGCCAGTGTGTGTACTTATTTTGCCAGCATATTGCAGACACTGGCAGAATAATTATAAGCTCTCGGTGCACGATTACATTAAGTATTTATCGTCTTTGATTGCACGATTCTTTGACCATCAACGACGAGTTCTCATCTACTTGCATTAGTCGCGTGTCGCGCGAGTGATTTTTCCATCATGACGCACAGTCTGTGGTGGTGGTGGTGTACGTGTACCTAGTAACTAATGGTAGTTGATAGTGCAAAAGTGTCATCGGATCTTAAGTAAATCGCCGTTGGTCTCAACTGTAAGACATCCAAGTACGTGTTCGTATACGTTTTATATGTTTGGCCAATCATCATCATCGTCACCTAGACTTGATCATGACGACCGAGGAGAAGTTTAAAGCTGCTGTCAATGTTATCAAGAGCTTGCCGAAAAACGGTGCCTATCAGCCCAGCCATGAGTTGATGTTAAAGTTCTACAGCTACTTCAAACAAGCCACTGAAGGCCCCTGCACAAGCTCCAAGCCAGCCTTCTGGGAGGTGGTCAAGAAGGCCAAGTGGGACGCATGGAATCGCTTGGCCGACATGAGCAAGGAGGATGCGATGAACAAGTACGTCGAGGAGCTCAAGAAGGTCGTCGAGGCCATGTCCAGCGTGGAAAACGTCGCTAGTTACGCCGACGATCTTGACTCGTTCAATAGAAATGTGCCTGTCAAAGACTTGGAACTAGTCGTTGGCCCAGTCCTCGAGAAGATACGCTCGCAGTCAAATTCCCCAATCCCCGAGACCTTTGAAGATTCAGCGCTCAGTAGCAGGAAGGAAAACGGCGACCCGCCAGATATCGTCAACAGTTATAGAAGTAACGGAGAAGTTAGTACAGCCGACGATATGAATGCTTACTCTGGGGAAACTGAAACCGAAGATGAGTTCATTGATTCGGTGGAATCTGCTGCGCCAGCCATTTCCCACAAGAAATTTTCCAAGACTCACGTCAGAGAGGATCAGAATGAGCATCAGAAATCGAGACACGATCTTAATTGCTCGTTTGTAAACAACAATGACAATAATAACTTTATCAATCAGATTGCTACGACACTGAAGAGCCTGCAAAAAGACTTGGATCAAGTTATGGTTAGAATTGCCAATATAGAGCAACAAGTGCTGTTGTTGACAAAGAATCAAGTGAACACCAAGCAGAACAATCGTAATAACAGTGTCTTTCGTTGGCCATTACCTAAAGATCCTATGCAACTTCTTGTACTGATAATAGTGTGGCCGTTTGTTGCTCAATTCTTTGTTTTTCTTCTCAAGCGATGCCATCGACGTAAAGTGTGAAACACATGAAAACTATACTAAACTATTGACTATTGAAGCTTAAATATCAATGCACTTAAACAAAGTTGTCGTGTTATTGCCAAACAAATTTTTTGAAACGAAAACAAGTAGATTTTAATATGTTGACGATTTTCTAAATCTGGAAAGTTATTGATATTTTACATAATTTTTGTACCAACTCTTGTAAAGAGTTTAATTATACACAAGTTGCATGTCTGTGGGTAATAGTATATATTTTGTATATTGCTGTTGAACATTTTGCTACTACATTTAGGGTAAGTGTTGAAAAAAAAAAAAAAAAAAAAATGAAATAATTTTTTTATCAAATACTATTTAACGAATTATGTTTTTATTTCTCCAGGAAATTTTTAAACGCCTGGCACTGATTTTTGCTATGCATCATGCGAATTTTGTTCCTGGGAACACACATCCTAATTTGTAAATATTGTTGGGTAAAAATAAAATGAGATAAATATTCTATAGCAGTTATCAAGTCAAGCAGATTTTGTTCAAGAGAAGAGGAATATAGGATAAATAAAATGGTGATATTGTTACTATATGGTTTAAGAGATACATGTTTAAACTGAATAAATGTTGAAATCTTATTTTATAAAATTTTATTTTATTATTTATAATAAATTTCTATATGCACCCCACACGTATGGACGTCGATATATTTGTTTATTTAATGAAAATTTTTTCAAATCTTCAATTAATTCACATAAAACCTACATGATCATCATCAGATTATTAAAAATAAATAATTGAAAGTTGGAGGTTTGTATAAAAAAATTTAAAAGCGTACTTGAAAAGCTACGTAATCGCGTGATATGGTTGACTGCTTATTAATATTGAAGAACGTAATAGAGGAAAATTTCCATACACTTGAGTTGAAAAACATTTTTTTTTGACGAGAAATAATTTAAGATGAAGAAGGATTTTCAATACAATTACTTGTGAATATAAAGTTAAATCTTTTTGCCAGTAATCTCACTTTATCTTGTCCGTGTTCTTTTACTTGGTGTTTGATGCATCGTCAAAAGAATCAGAACGTGATTATCGAGAGCCTTGGAGCTCTGCACACGGAAAAAATTTTCGGAATAATAAACGAATGAAATCAACATTTTCTCCAGGACAGTATATTTTAATATTTTAGTATTGTCACTCTCTTGAATAAATAATTCTAATCGAGCAGATATTAATATTAGTCAATATTTACAAAAAAATTGTATTTATGAGCAAACGGGTTTACAGACGCATATATGTATGATTTACACGAAAACATCTTTAAATCCATGACCCACATAAAATATCAATTTACCTAACTGTAAACGTAAAATCATAATGAAAATTCATGTTTATTTTATTTTATGATATTTATTAGCGACCCAAACTCTTGGATAAACATCAGTAAGATATTAACTTGTGTTTTTCTTTATCTGAAACAATTTTTGGCTTATCTTTGACTTTTTATGTACCCTTGCTACATTTACATAAAAAAAAAAAAAAAACGTGATTAATAATCTTGTAAATATTTATTAAAGATTTCACATGCTTTAAAACAAGCAATAAAGCATAGTAATTATATGTATTTTAGCGTATTTTAAAAGAATTTAGTATCGCTTTTGTATTGCAACAGTATAAAAAATTCGCGCAAAATCACATAAAGTAAAAATTATTGTTAATTTTGGGTAGACTTTTTATCTTAATAATATTTTTGTAATTATCATTACTACTTTTTTTTTTTTTTACATCATATAATATCTTCTTAAACGTAATTGTAGTTTGAATAGTAAAATATCTTAAAATTCTATGAGAAAAATCTTATGATTTCTTTTATTTTTTATTCAAGATGACAGATACTTCGAAGGCCAGAAATAATTTTTGCAAGTGAGAGAGAGAGAGTGTATAAGTAATAAATATAACAGCTCAGAAGACGATTAAAGCCACGCGAGGGTCTTTCAGTTGTCGGGTGAAAGTAAGTCGATTTCCGTGTTGATGTTGAAATTATTACTGCATACACAATTAATTACGATTAGAAAATCGGTTTCTCTAATAATACAATTTTTCACATATATAGTTATATACACATATCAAAAATAGTAGAGTCTCTTGCACGTGCTTCTACGTATTAAGCGCATTTACTAATGTTTGACAAAGTTTTGAAATATTGAACTGATAAAATTCATCACAGGCTTATTGTTTTTTAACTTTTTAAAGTAATACACACTTTTGACGATTAAAAAAAAAAAAAAAAAAAAATCGTTCAGGTAAACGATTCCACTCACTGTAAAGAATCAAATGAGAGAAAAAATAAACACAACGTGTACACACCTTAGAAGTGCTACCAAAGTCAAGAGTAAATAAATATGATGTAATCATATACACATACACATTATGCCCGTATGGGAATGAAGAAGTGTTGACGAGGTTGAGATCAGCGAAGGACATCTCAATCGGATGAAACCAAATCTAACTTCGACTAAGTACCTACGAAAATTGAAACATCATTGTTAAATTCATTCGCATGTTATATACTTATATAAATCAAACTGGGTTATTGAATTCCTAGCAGTTAAGAGCCGTACATATTTTGTGCGAATAAACGAAGCTAATCTTGTTGCAACAAAAAAAAATTAATGTACCTCATTGTACGTTTCACTTTTTGTCTACTAAGAAGAAAAAAAATATAATTGATTAAAAATTTAGCTAACATCGATCTTTGGTTCTAGCGACGCATCATTGTACTAGATTTGATTAATTTTTTTTCTTGATTACTTTAAGCAACAATATAATAGAATGAAAAAAATTCATACTGATAGTTTAATTTTTATTCAATGAATTTTCGACATTTCCATGGTGCACCTATACGACGGTACAGTAGATTGTTGTTATTATTAAACAATTATTCATATCAACCTTAAAATTACTATTTCAAAAGTACAGTCATTTCAAAATTTATTAGTACTTATATTATACATTTGAGTGGGTATTATGTTAAAAAAACAACTATTATTTTGATTTTTCATTTAAAAGATTAGACTGCACGTTTGTACTTGGTACATCAAATACTTTAAACGTTTGCATTCAGATTTTTCTAAAAATACTCAAATACGCCCAAACGGGATGCCATCATTATGATAAAGTGTTTGTCTCCCCTTCAGATATAAACGGGACGATGACGAGCGACGAGCCTCAATAAACACATACTTATATGCGCGCGTGAGTACGGGTATATATAGATATATGTGTGAAATATTGTGTAAGGTTTAGAATTAGACGGCAGGTAATAATAGAGGCTTAGACGTTTTTCGACATGAGAACGCACTTATTAAATTAGACGATTTGAAAAACCAGATTTTAACACCTTGTGGCAATCGAATCACCCGAAAGTACGAAAATAAAAAATTTTCGTCCTCAAACCTTCGAAAAAAAAAAAAAAAAAAAAAAATCATTTAGCCTGATGCTCTTAAAAGTTGACGCAACGTCAATTTACTTTCTTTTCAACATATTTTTAACCAAAATCAACGTTGCTTTCTTATTGTAAACGCCACAGCAGTTAATCCTCCATTGATACAGAATATATAACATAAATATTTGCAACGCAGGGACGATATAAATATAAACGCGCGTTGTTTACGTGAAGCCAAAACAGCAAAAAAAAAAAAAAAGGATTTCGCTCTTATTCCTTCGAAACCAAAATCTTGCTCGTCCATAGCGACGACTCGCGTCCGATCGCCGAAGGAAGAAAGGAACATAAAATAAATTAGTTGCGGCCCTCCCCTCCTCCTACACCGCCCCTGTTACGTCTCCTGATTGCGCAACCCGGCGATGCCTTTCGAACTATATCCGTGCCATTATCTACATCTTCTTCTGCGGATTTCGTTACGTTCCTTTTTTTTCCCCCCACTGAGGACTCGACTCCGGACGGACTCCAAAATCCTCTAGCGAACGATTTCGCTTCCTTTGTTGAAAATGAAGCCGTAAATGGCTTGTTAGATACTTTTACCCGCGCTAAATTTGTATGGCTCTATAAAACCGTTTTTTTTTCTTCTTCTCTCTCTTCCACGATTGCTATTGTATGAAAAATGTTTTTCTCAATATCGAGGTCGAAAAAGCAAAAAGGCACGGTACCACAGTACAAACAGTCGATCGTTTCATCCTTCGATGGGCCATTAATCTGCAGTAGAAAAAAAAAAGAGACGGGGATAATTGAGATAAAGGATACAACAACTTTAATTAAAAACACATAATACCCGCGGTTCCGCAAGTGAAATTTATTTTATGTATATAATATGTATCGTTGGCAAATAAAGTCCGGATGAAGAATTTCGTCCGAGCTGCCTTATTTATGAATTATGCGTTCTTCCATTCGCGTGCGGGCGATCCAAGAAGAAGAAGAAGAAGAAAAAAAAAAGAAAAAAGGGTAAGGACGAAAAAGCGCACGTGAAGTTGACTTGTAATTTAACTTTTCGGGAGTACTTGAATAATGACAGAGTGCACGTCCGGTTGGGCTCACGTGTGAGATCGTCTGTTAATTGAAAATAAAACTGTTGCGCGTGATGCGTGGGCTATTTTTCTCCTTGCCGGTGAAAGTCCTTAATCGCGCGGTATATTATTGAAAATCAGCCTTATTTACGTAAGGAAGAAAATAATAATATTCAACGAGATTCTTATCAATGTTGAAACAGTAATTTTTTTACCATTGCCGTACCCCTGAGGGAAAAAACCATTTATATATACCCTTCTAAAAAGGATGATTTATTTATTTGGGTGTATAGCTTCAGTTTTGAAAAATGATGAAAGTCCACGCACCAAGAGAGCAGATGGAAACAATTTATACACAAAATTCTGTGAATCTTTTTTCTTTTTTCCTTTTTTCCTCAGTCGCCATCACCCGTGTACGTTGGAGTTGAATTTCGAAAAACCAAAAAAAAGTCATTCAGAGAACTACTTCCATGAATATATGCCATCGTTAAAAGTGTTTTTTTAGAGGAGCATAAAACTTGTCGATGTATTTACGAAAAAAAGGGACCGATGAAGTAAAGTTCGAAAATTTGTTGGTCGACCTCCTGTATGATCACGTAGATGGACGTAATCTTGAAAGGCATACGTGGAGCTTTTGGCAGGATTTTGTATTAAACAACAAAAGAGTAAAATTTGTCCTGGACGAGAGTAAAACAAAATAGGAAAATATAGATTGTCAAAAAGCTTGGCGTGGACTTACAACTCGTTGGCCAATGGATATACATAAAATGAATATTAATGTACGAGGTGCTTTACTTCGGGCGATGAGCATATGCTCTCGGCGTCTTGATAATGGGATTTCCGAAAGATTCCGGGGGACGAAAAATGAAAGTGGCCAGTGGGAGAGCAGCCGATACATTCTGCACTTGCTGCAGACGTGATGTGTGAGGACACCCGGCATGAGATCGCGCAACCGATCGTTATTTATTTATGCCTCTTCTATAATTTACCGGTCAATTAACCGGGCACGACAAAATCAATAATCCATTTGATCGGTCTATGCATGGGAGTTATTGTTGATGCACAGCGAGAGCTGCCCAAGACATCATTGTATGAATACATCATATGGT